GAAAGGAACGGAGGGAAGGAGGGAGTACTACAAAGTAGGATGTGTTGAATGCTGAACGCAAGTGTCAAGCCGATGGTATGTGCAGTACCATGAGTAGTGATTGGACTGAGAGTAGCCTTGGAGGAGGCCAAGACAGGGGGTTGACAGAAAGGAAGGTGGAGGTGATTGTTCAGCAGAGCAACACAAGGCTAGCTGACTGACAAGAGGACAGGCATAGGCACAGTACTCCGTCGGGTAGTAGACAAGGTGTATGGGGAGGAATTGAGGGGAGATGCAAGCAATGAAGGAGATACTCTAGGTACAGAGGGATACATGTTGTTGTGTGGCGGTGGTGGTGGTGGTGATGATGATGATGATGATGCCTTGAAAAAGAAAAGAAAATGCGAATGAAAGGAAGCTCTAGATAATCACCCACCCATGATGTTGTGTTGTGTTATTGTTGTCAGCTGTGCGATGTGATGTGACAGTTGACGATGATAACCAGATGGGATGGGATGGTCTGGAATCTGGATCCTCCCGAGTTGAAAGTCTGTCTTGGTCTGTCCTGCTTGGTGTCCGTCCGGTCTGACTGTCGGAAGCTGGATTTAAGAGCGAATGGGCTCTCAGACCTGGGGGAAGGGAGCAGCAAATGAACGATAAGTAGGGGGGAAACTAGAGTAATAAGAGGCGATAATATCAGAGGGGACGGAGGGAGATAATGGGGGGGAAAAAAGAAAAAAGAAAACAAGAGGCCAAAGCCAAGGGAAGCTGATTGGGACTGTTGATATCAAGCCGGGTTGGTGCAAATCTTGTCAGTAGTAGTTGTAGAAACAGAGTAATCTACCCGCTAGCGATTCAGGATATCTGAATTGTGGAGGAAGAGGGGATCTCCAAGACTTTTTGATAGAGGATTGATTGATTGATTGTTTTGATACGAGGAGTGGAAAGAAGCTGCTGAGCAGACGCGGAAGCGGAAAAAGTGGATGAGTCCAATGGCCACGCACCTGGGGTCCAAGTACGGAGTAGTAGTCTGTTTCATGATACTATTGATATTTGACACTGATCTACTCTACTTTTTATTTTCAATTCTCTGATCACAGAAACGTCGAGGAATTCTGTTGATTTGATAAAAGCTACACTACGGAGTACTTTTACTACAAGTACCTAACAATCACTGTCCTCAGCCTGTGGCAGCCGCCAACCATCTGTCAATTATAGGCCAGCCGAACGTGATTCAATTTGGAGTAGTTAGCGCTGTAGCATACTTGGGTGGATGATCAGCTGTGATTATACTAGCTTTTCTAGGTGTATATAAATGTGTTGTCAAATGGAGAATTTAACCATGATCAAACATGTAATCCTCTTGGCCTATGGGAGTCCTAGAAGGCAAAGAGTACAGGCTGAATTTGTCGGAAACTTAATCATAATGAGATTCCTTCTCGGATATTCTTATGGAAATGCTAGTCACTCATAGACCAGTAGCCAGTCGAATTTAGTGTTGTCTCTCGAGGCTGAAACGGCATTTGTACGAACAAAATATATAACTCAAGTATACAATGCAAGCCGATACATGGGACCATTTCTATTCAGTCATCATCGACTGAAGATGATTCCTTATCAACAATCGATACAAAGCATAACACCATCTCTCAATGCTACGACTTATGTACTGTTGAGTACGGAGTACGGCATATCAATCATCGGAGAACGAATTACTGACAGGAAGATCAGCTTGGCTCAGCTCAGACCACCGCTTATACCGAGATTCCTCCTCCGGCTGGCCCGAAGTTCCATCCTATCCAAGCCACCAATAACTTTTCCGACGGCACTTTTGAAAGACTATCTACCAACAAGAGATCACCATCAGAAATATAGTACTCACTCCAATCAGAAACGATGGCCCAGCCTGTCTCCCTTTCTCGCTGCTCCACAAGACAAATCAACACCCTCCTCTCGTCCTCTATCACCCTCACTTCTCGCCTGATCCAGTCCTCCTACATCGCCCTGCAGTCCCGCCATCTATACCACCCTCAAAGCTCACCACGCCGTCTCATCCATCAACAAACCCTGTTCTCGCGACCGCAACGATGCATCGCTAAAAGATCCTACCACTCGCAATACCACCCCGAGCTGCCCCCCCACGAATACACAAACTCACAAACCACCATCCTCTCCGCCGCCCTAAACCATGTGCCCAAGCACGGCTTCACAGTCGAAGCTCTGACCCTCGGCGCCCGCGACGCAGGCTTCCTCGATGTCTCGGTCCAGCTGCTCCCGCGCGGCGAGTTCGATCTCGTCCTTTTCTGGCTGGCGAGTCGGCGCGGCCTTTTGCGAGGGAAAGTCGAGAACGGATTATTTGAGAAAATTGCGTCCCAGGGCAAGGCACTGTCTGTCGAGGAGAAGACCAAGTTGCTTATCATGGAGCGGTTGCGGATGAATGCAGAGATTAAACATCAGTGGCAGGGTGTAAGTTCTGCCTTTCTTTCTTGCTTAGGTATTGCACTGTATACGTTCGATTGGTGCTAATTACCACTGCTTACCCCAGGCCCTGGCTCTCATGTCCCTCGCTGGAAACATCCCTCTGTCGCTCTCTGAGCTGCATGCTCTGTCCTCTGATATTTTGAATCTTGCTGGAGACGCCTCGGTCGATGCATCATGGTATACCAAACGACTGTCCATCTCGGCCATCTACGCCAGCGCCGAGGTTGTCATGACCCGCGACTCGAGTCCGGATCTCTCCGCTACAGAGGCTTTTGTGGACCGTCGGATTGAGGATAACAAGTATATCGGTGATAAGATTACCGGTATCAAGCAGTGCCTGGGCTTCATGGGTTCCACTGCTGTGGGGTTGGGACGGAGTTGGGGGTTGAAGATCTAATCTAGTCTGGAGGGGTACAAGCTCGACTGTGTACAAGTGGAGTGGATATTGTATTCATATTCTAACGTAGGATTCCTGCATTGTATAATACGCACCTTCTTTCGTCTGCCTCCCCGTGTTTCGGAGACAAAGCTTCAGACGACTGTACTTACTACTACAGATTAAACCTATCTGCAAGTAATCTCGTCGAGCTCGGCAGATTTCGAATCTCCTCCACACGCGCCTCCAGTCGCTGCAACCACCCATCCTCCCCAAACAACTCCCTCACGGCTGTCCGATTCGGCGCCATATCCCACCACGGATCACGGAGCGAACTCCGATTCTGGTCCTCGCGACGCGCCCGTTTCCAATGGTATTTGACGTCCCGTTCCCGCTGCTCGGAGATAGCCTTGAGCAGCCCGCAGGTCCGCTCATCCGGCTCCACCCCTGTAGTCTCCATTTCTTTCAGCAACGATACAACACCGGGTAGATCATTGCACCCGCGCCAGTAGAAGTAGATCAGCTCGTTATACAGACCCGTCGAACTTCCCAGCACCGCTGAGGTCCTGCCGTGCGACTTGATCGTCGAGCGGAATTGACTGATCAAGGGCGAGCCCGGGAAGTGCGAGTTGAGAAGGCGGAATGCCACGAGGAGCATCTTCGGGTAGAGTACCGTGACGACTGCTTCCACAGGCACGGATTCCGGAACCTCCAGAGGGCTGTGGGAGATTCGGGTTCGTTCGTCCTCTGAGCTTGTCGTCGAGGCGCCACTATCCTCCGGTAATCGGCTATCTCCGAGATATCGTAGCATCGAGAATACTCTCTCCTTGCACACTTCCCAGATCCCAATATCCCCTTTGCCTTCGTCAATCGCTGCACGGAGCGCGCGCTCGATCTTCGCCGACTCCCTTTGCACAGTGAATTGAATGGCCCGCTCGATAGAGACAGGATCATCACTGCGCAGCTCGGGAGGGTTCAAGTCACCCGCTTGCTCCTGGGGCCCCAGCTCCGAAGTCGACGCGGGCTCATCCACCTCCGTCCCCGGCTTGCGGATTCCGGCACTCTCCGTTGAAGGTGCAGAGCGCCGCTTTCTCTTCCGAATATCCTCAAGCACAGAGTCAAAGATAGCGGAGATCTGAGCCATCTCGTCTCGTTCCTCGTCGCTTAGTGCCGGCTTCTGTGGTCCCCCCGTAGCTGACTCCGGATCATGCTTCTCCTCCACACCCAGCTGCTCCAGCAGATCACCGAACGCCTTCCTCTCGGTGCGTGTCATCGTGAGTGCCTTTTGGCGTGGTCGCAAGGAGGGCGGGCGGGATTGTGAGACCGTGGCTGCGCGCCTCTGCAGGTAACTTTTTCGGGATCGACGGCCATCATTGTTCGGGGTTTGGGAGGGAGAATCAGATGTGGCATTTTCAGAACTCTCACTATCATCAACAGTCTCTTCGCCTCTACCTAGGCTCGATTCGGGTGTGGTGAAGGTAGTCGATGTCGACTGAAGTGATCGGCTCTGTCGGGCATTCCATTTTGCATAGCGCAGCGGCGCTGTGAGTGTCCGGGTCTGGTAGAGAAATGGGACGGGGGAGTTAATTGTCGCCAGTGCCAGGCAAGTGCGCGAGATGCGTAGCGGCATTGTACACCACGACCGCAAAGACCAGGGACTGGGCGTTGAGTCTCGACAGTAAAGCTGCAAAACTGATGTAGTCCATTGAAAAGTCGGAGAAATTCAGAATGACAACGGAGTAGGTCGACCGCATAGTCGGTAGCGCAAAACTACGCTTTTTATACTAAATATACCGCAGACCGTTATTCTTTATTAATCTTGTATTCTTTCCCTATGATTATATTTCTCATATGAAACCAAAAAGGATAATCGCACTGAATCACTTGTCCCAATTCCATTCAGCACCATCTCATTATATCACGTGATAGCGCGACATTGCAGCACGCGTTTCTTCAGGCAGAAGCGCGGGTTTGGTTTGCGTGAATTTACACCACTCCTTTCATTATCAAGGCATTGATATACACAGCGGACGCTCAGGGCGGTCGCAAGTCAGTCACTATCATGGGCGCTGATAATGAGCTCTCTGAATTCGAAAAGCAGCGTCTCGCGAACATCGCAGAGCGTGATGCGCTCCTCAAGAAGCTCACCCTGGACGCCCAGTCGTCCGGCCTCTTCCCACCCAAATTAGCGAGGAGCTCGCCAGGAGGTCAGACAAAGCCGAAGAAGAAGCCCCCACCGAAGAAGATCAAGAAGGAAGATGAGGCCCCAGTGCCGCGGCGTATGTCCTCGCGGTTGAGAGGCATTAAGGCGGAGAGCGAGGTTGCGAAACGCAAGGCGGAAGAGCAGTACGAAGCTGCGCAGCAGGCGGAGCGGGCGAAGAGAGTTCGCAAGTCGGATGCGTTCTCGTTCAGTGAGATGCTTGTGTCGGGGCAGAAGCTCAGCGGTGATAGCCTGATCGGCGTGGATGTGGTGACGAAGGGAGTTGCGATGCCGTATCAGCGGACTTTTGGTGATGAGGATATTGAGCAGACGACCGATAAGGAGCTGAAGGCGCTGAGGGAGGAGATGAGCGGGTTGCAGCTGTGGGAGGCGTGGGAACCTAATCGTGCGTTGACCTTCCACGTGGACTGCGACATGCTGTGGCTAGAAATATTAACAATAAGGCAATACAGGCATCAAGCTCACCCCCGAAAGAGTCTACACAATGACGTTCCACCCATCAGAGGCCAAACCCTTGATCTTCGCCGGAGACAAGATGGGCAACCTCGGCGTTCTAGACGCCTCGCAAGAGAAGCCAATCTCAAGCGTCAAGCACGAAGACGACGAAGACGCAGAGGAGGACGACCCAGACCCGGTCCTGACCACTCTCAAACCACACACACGAACCATCAGCTCCATGCACGTCCACCCCTCAAAGCCAACCCACCTCTACAGCGCCAGCTACGACAGCTCCATCCGCGAGCTGGACCTGGAAAAGACAACCTCGGTCGAGAAATACGCCCCCGAGTCAACCTCAGACGACATCCCCATCTCCGGCATCGACATGGCAGCCGACGACCCCAACACGCTCTACTGGACAACCCTAGACGGCGCATTCGGCCGCTACGACACCCGCGCCTCGCGCAGAAGCGCCGTAGCCACCTGGCAACTCTCCGAGAAGAAAATCGGCGGCTTCTCGCTCTTCCCAACGCACCCGCACTACTTCGCAACCGCCTCGCTCGACCGCACCATGCGCCTCTGGGATATACGCAAGCTCTCCCACGATGAACCCCTTCCCGTAGGCGAGCACGTCAGCCGGCTCTCGGTCTCCCACGCCGCTTTCAACAGCGCCGGCCAGGTCGCTACGTCCTCCTACGACGACACGCTCAAGATCTACGATTTCGGGTCCAAGGGCATCGCCACCTGGAAACCAGGACACACCCTCTCAGACACCGAAATGAAACCCGACACGGTCGTCCGCCACAACTGCCAGACAGGACGATGGGTGACCATGTATGCTTTCCCCCAACCAATACCATCTTCAAGCCGTTTCACGCAAAAACTAACATGAAATGTCTTGCAGCCTCCGTCCCCAATGGCAAGCAAACCCGCAATCCCATATCCAGCGCTTCTGCATCGGAAACATGAACCGTTTCGTGGACGTGTACAGTAGCTCCGGTGACCAGCTCGCCCAGTTAGGAGGCGAGGGTATCACCGCCGTTCCTGCCGTGGCTGTCTTCCACCGCAGCAAGAACTGGATCGCGGGCGGCACTGCCAGCGGCAAGATATGTCTGTGGATGTGAATGCTGTTCAGGAGATGGCGATGGACAGATGTAGCCGTTCTGCATATTGTTTGGCCTTCAAGTTTAGGCTTTTGAGTGGCCGCGTTTTAAGGTGTATATCTACTTGCAAGTATCTCTATGGCATAAGCGTATCTGGGCTATGAAAGCCGAACATGATTCAGTCTCAAGGACGGTTTGATCCTTTCACTTGTCTACGATCCCATGTACTGCATTGTGCGAAATCTATTACATAGGTCTACACGGACCATTAGGTCGAATGCAACCTCGACCTCAGCAGAAGCGCAAGAAGGAAGTATCGGATGAATAGTAGTTGTTTCATCTATGCGAAGGTGAAAGTGGTTATGTACACAAAGGAATACGAACTGTTTTTGTACCATGGAAAAGTCCAGCAAAACCTTTCCGTCCACAACGGTGTACGAGATGGAAGGCCACACTGACATTTTCCAGCCAAAAAAGCAGCTATCAGAGCAGGGTATCAACACCGTGACAAATGCTATTTAAGGACAATGATCAGGGTAGAAGGGAAGAGAAATCCAAGAAGGGAGAGAACGTCAGATCATCAACACATGGGATCAATGGCGGGAATGAAGTAGAATATACACCAGAAGATGCAAGATTTTGCTCACAGAAGGCCTTCCTTGTTATACACAATAGAAAGTCTTCTCTCAATTGTTGTTTCCCTGTGGGAGTCATGTATATCCCATTCATTATCCAGGACCGAAGGTGACGCTCCGGCGATAACAAAGGGCAGGTTGAGAGTGCGAGTGAGGCTTGATATAATATCAGCGAATAACACAAGAAATGTCATGCTCCATATATTGATCATGACCGTTTAACACGTCGGATATAATTTGACCAAGAAGTAGACAAGCTAGTAAGGACTCGTACGTCAGAACTCGTTTCGTAGTTCTTCGCGCGAGTGCTGTTGAGTACTCTCACGATCTTTGGCCTTGCGTCTCGACGAGGCCGGCACAAAATCAAAGAACCGATACTTGCTTGTCGTCTCTTTCGTCATGCTAGATCTGCGCGCCTTGGAGGGGTCAGAATATTCAAGAGAGTAGGTGGAGGAGTTCTTTGAGCTGCCGGTGCTGTCTCGAGTGTCTGACCAGCGGGGCATTGAAAAGGGCACACGACTGTGGTCCCAGGTTGCTGACGAGGAGCTCGGAGGAGTCTCCTCCTCAGCGTCTGGACCATAATCTGTGGACCGACGAGGGAGCGAAGGCCGCGAAGCGAAGTAGCCAATCGAGTTTCTGTGACTCCCAGCAACGGATGCTGGCGTTGCAATTGCCGTTTCTGTCGCCGGTGTTGTCGTCTTGGAGCTGTCATCATAGAAAGTCGCCGTTCGTTCCATGGAATCCACTAGTTCTTCCCATTTGACTTCAAGATTCCCATTCGGGCGTTCTGCCTGTTCCGCTTTACCAAGACAGTCTTTGGTACGTTGGTGGAGACGAAGGGCCAGCTCGTGAAACTTTTTAACGGCAGGATCGATCTCTTCCAGCTCGGCAAGTCTCCCGGGCGCTGCTTCAAGCCAGATCCTTATCAAGTTTGCAAAGCTCCTTGCGTGGTCGATCAAGAACGGGAGACTAGGAAAGCCCTCGCGGGAGGTAGGGGGCAGCCTGTTGAGAATCTGAATCGGCGTCGCATAAGATGGTGTGACAATAGGGGTAGGACGGTCAGCAGGAATCGCGCAGATTGAGTCAACGAACTGCTTGAATTCGGAACGATTGCCAACCAGGAACTTGTTCATTGGTTCCATCCACGGCTCTTTACTGCCGAACGTCGTCATGTTCGCAAGGCCTTGCAAGGCTTTGGCGATCAATGTCAACGTTCGTTGAGCACGAGGGCGAGGGTGATCTGCTAGGATTAGCGGGAAGGAACGAGATTAAGAGAATGGAGAGACGAGGAATCTTACCTTTCAACAATCCAAAGAGCTTTGGGTTCAGGATTGCTGGACAGAAGAATCGCAGGAACAAGAAACCTGAGACGCTGCTGTATGTCACCGTTCGCAGGAAATCGCCATAGCGGTCCTCTGCGCAAGCTCTGATATGCCTAAATATGAGTCTCAACTCTGCAGGACAGCGAGAAGCGGAGCCAGCAATTGACTTCCAAACACTCGTGGTAAGCGAGACGAGGCTCCTCCAGTTGCGGTCCAGGTCGTCTGAACGATGGACTCGTGAAGGGTCAACTTCACATTCAGGATCACTCTCGTCAATCTCGCGTAGCCGTTCTCCGATAGTCTCTTCGAGGTATTCCTTCCCGAGCCGACGCATATGCAAGTCCAGTGCCTTGGTGAGAAGGGAGTTCCCTCGGAACAGAAGATTTGCCTCCACGGTTGCCGTTCGTCCCAAGTCCCTGACAAGAACTTCTCGATCCTGACCTGATTCCCTTGAGTCATTCGAATGGATCCTTGTGGTATACCTTAGTCGATTCGCAGTCGAGTCTTTGTGAACGCCATCAATCTCATCCTCAACCAGTGCGGAAATCCATTCAACCGTCTGACCCGAGACCTGATAGATATTGAGTAGAGCCTCTGAGAGTTGGTTGAGTTCAGAGGAGATGATCTGAGCCATGTTGATCGTAAGACCATTGGTAAAGGCATGCAGGATCTCGGACATGGGCGTATATTCATGCGACATCAGAACGACCGTCTCTTCCATCCGAGTTCTCATCAGCATCTCCCCGACAGACTGATCCCGTTCATCTAATATGGTCCACCACTTCTCGGTTTCCACGCCAGACTCCAAGTCATCCAACCGTATCTCCACCCGTCCGTACGTGGCATCATGTGACGAAATCTCCACATCATCCAAAGCATGCATGGCATTTGCATCCTGGTGCAAGGCATAGGATCCGTGGGCGATGAGCGTCCAGTCTTTCTGGGTTGGGTTGAGAGTCTTGACGAGTATCGAAACCTGTGACAGGACAGGTGGAAGATCATTGAAAATGAAATCTTCGCGCCAAAAAGGGTTGGACGTGCGGAATTTGACGGCTGTCTTCGCTCGAATTTCCCCGTCGAGAAGAACTTCTGTGTAGTAGTCGCTGACAGCGGGTGCCGGAACCGGGTTGCTGTGAGACCTTGATTGCTTCCGGCTCCTTGGTGTCTCCTCAATTGGCCTGTCACGCTGCAGCTTTGCCTCTGTCACTCTAACCGAGAGCATCCTTTCAATTCGAAACATGTCTCTTGTAGACGGCGAGCTCGTATCACCTGACCCTGCTGTATTTGTCGAATTCTCCTCGACAGGGAGTTCCGGACCGTAGAGTTCCGGAATGGTAAAAGCGCGCAAGAGAACGAACCAGACCTCAAAGAGCACTCGACTTTCTAGCGCAAGATACACCGGGCGGGTCAATCCGGACGCAGAATGCGCCGCATACTGAGGATAGATGGCAATGCAGAATTCGTCCTCAAGAACAGACTCGTTCAATTGCTGCACCGCACAACGAGATAACTGAGACAATTGAATGCAAGTGACTAAAGTGATGTCTGATTCTGTGAAGAGTTTGAATGCACCATTCTCCTGCAACGTGCAGCTGACTTTCTGCCATGACGAAGATAGGGCCCTTTGCTGACGATATGTCGAAACACGGTGGCCGGAATTGGGTCGTGTACTGGATGCACTCGGTCTGTCCCACAGGAGCATCTTGCCGACCTTGATAATGGCCGCATCTTTGTGAACGGTGCTCTCAGAATTTCGCCGACGGTCCGCAAGGCGACGTTCTCCGATCGCTACCGACTGAGGTTTCGTCATCTTGTTTTGCACGCCTTTCGGTCGGATCGGCTGCCAACACAGTAAGGCGGCCAACCAAGAGTCGAATGTTTCATTGACGTGGGGTTTCAATTCGATACCCAGTCCTGAGGTGAAAGTGGAAACTTTGAGATAGTTCGTTCGCGTCTCTGGATCGACAAGCGAGCGAACCTGGCATCCACGCAGGTCCGGAATCAATGTCTTTGCAAGCGCAGGTTCTCCCTTGGCCTGATATATTAGACTCCCCGTTGCAACGTTGATAGCACAGTAGCCTGACGTCCAGGCTGTGGTAGAAGATGTCCGGAATGACAGAATACCATGCATTCTTCCACACGTTGTTTTCATGAGCTGAAGTATTTTAGAGGCATCGCTGCTTGACAAGGGTGTCGAGGACGGGTTCGCAGTGACGCTGGTGACTACGCTTGAGCTACCAAGATTTCGACTCAAACGTTGACGACCAAGCGTCTGGCTGAAATAAGGAGCCGGTTGTATTGATGGAAAACCAATGGAGCTCGCTTGGTCTTCTGAGGCCTTGGACTGGGGAGAAGCGGTATTGATGGAACCAAGGCGATTTCGAGTTCTCGTGAGGAAGGAGTTGGGGGAGATTTCGCTGCGCTGGTCATCCAAGGTCGTGGTGCGGGACCGCGCCCGTTGGCTCCGTAATTCCACCTGGCCCTCATCCTCGTCTCCTGCCGAATGATAGGGTTGAAAATCGCGACGAGATTCATGATCGGGTGCTCTTGTTCTGTATGCGGCACGGGGTGACGGGGCAGCACTTCCAGACATATATTCAGCTTCCGACAAAGGGGAATGATTGCCGGTCTCGGTGGAGGAATCCGGCGTCACCGTCCGGATGCTCGTCTCTCTAAAGCTATCGGGGTAGACCATTCCATGACGGTCTTTGGAGGAAGACTTCTTGCTGGGACGCCGTTCCACTGGGCGACTGTAGATGCTGTGGTGGGCAGAGGTCCGCTTGAACCCGTTTGAACTCGAACTTTCCGATTCCATCTTGCCCGCGACACACAATGGAAACGGTGACAGCGGCACTCAGACGAGGTCGCTACGAAACGTACGATACGCAGATCAAGACCAGCACACAGCCCACATAAAACGCACGCACAAGCGGACGCACACCTCAAGGTCTTCGCTTCTAGAGTGTTACCTTGCAGCACGCTGAAACCCAAATGACGCTGCGCAACCGTCCTCGAACAATTGAGGGCCTTTGTCGTCCAATGGGTCGCTAAGTGAACGCATGGA